TCATCCCCACTCCCTTCTTTTGACATATCAAGCACATAGAAATCCACAGGAAATAATAGACCTTTAACACAAACCAACAAGTCTTCTACTACTCCATGTGGTCTTCTAACACTTCTATCCGCTAATTGGCATATCATAGGTGTCTTATGCATGCAATCAAGACTCAAGGCATGATAAATTGAAAGAGGCATAACATTAATGGCTGCACCTAAGTCTATCAATGCATGAGAAAAATGTGTGTTGCCAATCTTGCATGGAATTGTGAAGGAACCGGGGTCCTCACATTTTATAGGGAGTTGAGGCTTCATGATAGCACTCACAGATGAGGGTAATTGTACCCTTGCATTAGGCCTAAATTTTCTTTTATTTGTACAACAATCTTTCAAAAATTTGGCATACTTAGGAAAGTTCTTAACTACATCCATCAAGGGTACATTAACATGAATCTTGTGGAAGAAATCATATACCTCTTGATCAAATTGTCCCTTTACTTGCTTAGGGACCACTTGTACTTGTGGAAAAGGAAGCTTCTTCGTAATCTCTTGACTTTGCTTTCCTTCTTCCTTCCTTGAACTCTCCTTTCTTATTTCACTTTGCTCGGCCTCTCCCTCTTTTTCCTTACTAAATAACTCGGCCATAGTCCCCTTTTCCACCTTAGATGGTGGTTGCTCACATATGATCTCCTCAATGTTTTCATCCTCATCATCTCTACAAAAAAATGCATCATTAGGAGCAAAAGAAGAACTAGAAACATTAACATCAATTGAAGAATTTAAAGAGGGCTTCTCGGCCTTCCCTTGTCTTTTGCCTTCTTGTACTCTTTCTCCCAACTCCTTGCCACTCCTCAATGTGATAGCATTAAGATTAGCTTTAGGATTAGCAACGGTGTTGGATGGTAATGTAGAGGCTTGAGCATTGTGTCACGGGCTGAGAGTCTGGCGCAGTACACGGCGCCCGTGCGACGTCCTGGAGGACCCCATAATCCTCAGGACAAGCCTTACCACGTACGGATCACACTGGTTTCGCCCTGCCATGGGCTCATCAGGGAGGCGGTACTAGCCCCCGACCAGTTGTGCACACAGTCCGAAGACTGAGGCAGAACACCCTCAATGCTAATGTCGCCCCTTTACCCATATTGTGCGAGGCTAACCAGCGGACCGTTCATTATCTTGGTCTTTATATGGTCACAGAAATATCATCCGTGACATTCTCCCACACCCAATCTAGCACGCCCTCGTGCTAGGGGAGAACGACTTCGCCCAAGGATCGTACGTACAGTACTGCCACAAACACATCAGCTTACTTGCTGAGTGGCCACCCGAGTCCTGCACTCTTCGGACCCACTCGCACCCGCGAGCCAACAGGAGTGGAGTCGACAACGGCCAACCATCCCGCCCGAGTCCCCACTTTTGGACCCACCTGCTCGGAGGCCTTTCTGGAGCGGTGCCGAGGCCGACCAGTCCCAACGTGGGACCCCACGCGCACACGGCAGTAAAGTACGTCCTGCTCTGATACCACTCTGTCACGGGCTGAGAGTCTGGCGCAGCACACGGCGCCCGTGCGGCGTCTTGGAGGACCCCAAAATCCTCAGGACAAGCCTTACCACGTACGGATCACACTGATTTCGCCCTGCCATGGGCTCATCAGGGAGGCGGCACTAGCCCCCGACCAGTTGTGCACACAGTCTGAAGACTGAGGCAGAACACCCTCAATGCTAATGTCGCCCCCTTTACCCATATTGTGTGAGGCTAACCAGCGGACCGTTCATTATCTTGGTCTTTACACGGTCACGGAAATATCATCCGTGACAATTGGCTGCACTTAATTGGTTAGCAAGCATATTCATTTGAGAAGTAAGGGCATCAATTTTAGAGTTCATGTTCTCACACTTGTTACCCATACTCTCTACCTTGTTCCCTAAGCCATCATACATGTTTTTATACAAAGAGTTCATTTCAATCAACTGCTTACGTAACACATTCACATCATTAGAAGAGTTCGAATTAGAAGAACTCTCAATTGGAACAAGCCTCCTATCACTATAAGAATTAGAAGAAGGTGTAAGAGAATTACCACTTGGATTATAGCTTTGAGAAGAGCTACCTTGAGACAAATGAGGTGGAGGGTCACGGCCAAAGGTGTTTTGATAGGATCCTCTTTGTTGATTGTCTTGTAAAGCCACATTTGGATTTGAATAGGAGAAATTAGGATGGTCTCTCCATGAAGGGTTGTAAGTATTAGAATAAGCTCCTTGCCCTTGCCTCCCACCATAGGATTGTTTTCCATTGTAGATAGCATTTACTTGTTCAAACTTAATAGGACAATTGCTTTCTACATGCATAGGTGAGTCACAAAAAGTACAAGAATAAGGGACAAGTGCTTGAGAAGTACTTACATTGCTCACTTGAGATATTTATGGAGCCAACATTCTCCCAATCTTGGCAGCTAGCAAGTCCACATATGAATCATTAAGAACTGAGGAACCTACCATATTCACATTTCTCTTTTCCCTTGTAGAGTATTGAGCACCACTTGAAGCCATCTTATCAATTAGTTCCCAAGCCTTTAAGGAAGTGAGGTCAATCAAGCATCCACCACTAGCAGCATCAATGTTAACTTTGTCTCTTGGAATCAAGCCCTCATAGAAATATTGGACTAAATTCTCACTAGAAATTTGATGGTGTGGGCATTTAGCCAAAAGGCCTTGGAATCTAGTCCAATACTCATAGAAACTCTCATCCTCTCCTTGTTGGACCCCATAGATTTGCTTTCTCAAATTGGTGACCTTGGAATTTGGAAAGAATTTATCTAAGAAGAGTCTTCTTAGCTCGGCCCATGTGCTCACTTTCACATAAGAAGGGTAGTTGAAATACCACTCCTTTGCTAAACCTTCAAGAGAAAATACAAAAGCCTTAGCTTGAACATCATCAACATTTACATGCATAGGCTTCATAGTATCACAAACCAATAGGAAAGTATGCAAAAACCTATGACAATCCTCTCCTGGTAACCCATGAAATTTAGGCAATGCATTAATCAAGGAGGATTTAATTTCAAATTGAACATTAGTAGGAGGAACATATAAGCCATAAGGATTATCATGCCAATTAGGTTGAGTTAATTGCCTAATGCTCCTCTCCTCTCTAGGGTTATGCAAGCCTTCAAATTCATTATTAACATGGCCATCATCATGCAAATTCTCATTCCCATTCCCATGGCCCTCATTATGCACATGCTCATGTCCTAAGATACCTTCCATTGTTGAATTACAAACTAAATGAGAATCAAGAATAGGTTGTGATCTTCTCAATCTAGAAATAGTTCTTTCAATTTCTGGATCTAATTCAACAAAAGAGGTATGTTTTCTTCGGGTCATGCACTAATCAAGCTCAAGAAAATTAAGAACAAAGAACAAACTAAACTAAAATGCAAATCAACATGAAACAATTCAAAACACACAAAAGCAAGAGAAATAATTTTTTTTATTTTTTTTATTAAACTCAATAGCAACAAAATGAAAAAAAAAATAACACCAAACAAGTGGAAAGAGAGTTAGAAATGCTCAATCAAGAAGCTTTGACAATTCTGGAATTCGCACAGTAGGCTCTCTGGAGATAGTGAACTTGTAAATTTTCTATCAGCAAATCCACATAATAAATTCCCCTGAAACTTTTATGAGAAACACAAGAGATATACAGGCAAATTATATAAAACTTTTAGATTAAAAATCCTTCCCAATCGTTCCCAGAATTTTTCACAAGTTGGTCCTCAGGTCTGGAGAAACAGGATTTCGTCCAGAAGACCTTCAGAGCTTCTAACAAACTTTCAAATAGGAAAATGGAAAAATTGAAGAAAATCCTAAACACAAGAAACAAAGATAAGACAGTGATAAGAAAAATGAAACTGGAATCAATCAATTTGAACGCACAAAGACAAAGATATGCTAACTCAAAGTTGAAACAGGGTTTTGGGAGTCCTCTGTAATGGCTCCCTGGACCTTGTTAGATTGTAAAATTTCCACAGGACACTTCCCACGTCCAAAATTGACCAAACCAATTTTAAAGTGAAGCTAGGATATAGAGCTTTCAATGAAATAAATTCCACGTTCAAATTCCCTCAGACTCATTCCCAGTTAATTTTTCAATTTCAGACAGAGACACTAGAAACAGAGTATTTTCAGCTTTACACCAAACCAACGAAAATTGCACTAAATTTTTTTCTTTTTTCAAAACAGAATAAAAACACTCAAAACACACAAAAAACACTAAACAAGACACAAAAAACAAATTTTTATAATTTTTCAAAAGATTTTTCAGGAACACTAAAAATGTAAATTAAGTACTAAACAACCTTAGAATTAAACTTAAACCATTCCCCGGCAACGGCGCCAAAATTTTGATAGGAAATTAGTCGCTTATCCTCAAAATTACACTAAAGCTAACCCTAATGCAATATAGGGCCAACCCTAGGTCATCTCCCAAGGAATGGTTTTAAGTCTAATTGAAAGTTATCTAGTGAAATAAATCAACCAAAGTTTGTAGGAATTTAGTTATCTAGCTAATTATCTAAACTAATTACCTAATATGCAAGTAATTAAAATGCTAGTGAAAGTGAGTGAAATGAACTTCCCTTTTTACAATAATGGAACCCTAGAGATTAGTTAATTTTGGACTCATTATCTTCTCATGATTAGGCTAAGTTTAGCTTCCCTTTCCTCTTGACTAAAGCTGTCATGACTTAAGAAAATTATCCTAAGCCAATTAACCTAATTAGCTAACCTCCCTAGGTCTTAGATTAAAGTCCCTAGTTCAATTAACCAATTGGTGAAGACATTAGCCAAGTGATTTACTCAAAATCCTCTCTCAACAGCCATGGTCAAACACATAAATTGAGCAACCACAAGATTATGTCAAGCTACTCAACAACACAAGCATTAACACCACAAGATTATGTTAAGCTACTCAACAACACAAGCATTAACACCACAAGATTATGCAATATTAACACAAGAAATTCACTAATTGAAAAACACAAGATTATGTGCCAAACAAAGAGTGGCAAAATTCAGTCATGGCTGTCCAAGGAAGAAATTAAATGAAACAATCCTCTCTCTTTACATCAACATCAAATTCAAATTAGAATTTATAAGCTAAGATGATTAGACCCTAGATTAAGGAATCTAACTATCTAGTAAAAAGAGAAGAGGATAGGAAACAAAAGAACTTAGCCAATTTGAAGCTCAAGACTCATCCTCCATCTTCATCTCTCTAGGATTCCACAAAGAAACTTAGCCAATCTTCATCTTCAAAAACCCTAGTGATTGCTTGTGAAGGCCAAACTCCATAGCTCTTGAATGATGGAAATGAGCTTCAATCCTTGTGAAAATGGAAGGGATGGAACGAAAATGAAGAGAGGAGAAAAATGGTATGAGTTTTGTGGAGGTTTGGTGACTGAAAATGGAGGTTAGGATGCTGGAAAATGAAGAACAAAAGAGAGAAAATGAAGAACACTATGAACAAGAGAGAGAGAATGTGGAAGATGAATGAGATATGTGTTGGATCCCATTTGGGACTTAAAATGGCGTGCTCCTTGGTGTCTCCCATCAGCTGAAGCTTAATTAAAATAAGGAAAAAGAAATTAAAATGTAAATGGGAGCTTGTCACACTTGCAAGGTGGCAACTTCCTATTAGTTTGTAGATGATTCCAATGTGTGCCTAATTTCCCATGTGTCATCCACATCATTTTAGCTGATCTAATCCCTCAAAATAATCATAATTCACGTGCAAACCATCAGCCATTGTCCTCAAGGAGTGTTGACCTCAATTGCCCAATTGATGCACAAGTCACATGCCACCTATGTCACATAAATCACATAATTCAATTAAATAGCATATGATATAATAAAATCTAATTCATGTCCAAAATTAAATTCATAATTAGAAGGGAGAATTTATTAAATTAACCAAGTTTCAGGCTGCACAAAATTATATAAAAATTTTCACACAAAGGCAAACCAAAAACTAGGACAAACTAAGACACTTAAGAAAGTGTTGACTTTTTTATTTAATTACTCCCAAACTAAAATGAATTTTAAAAATATAATTTCACCATTCATCAACTGAACATAAAATGCACTTTGTCAATTTTTCTTGTACATTTTCTCAAAAGTTCATTTTTTTGGACCAAAATGCCCCTAGTGCACTGATCTTAGAAACTTAGGCAAAGTTCCAAATCTAATGCAATGTGTGCACTTGAAGGTGATAAATCATTAATAAAATGGTCCTAATTGACAAATAAAAGTGGGTAACAAATGTGTTCTATCAAACACACAATCCACGAGGGTAAGTAACCAAATGCAGCCGAAGCCACGAAACAAACATGGATACATAGTCTACGAGGGTAATGCTAACCAAATGCGGTTTAAAGCCACGAAACAAACGTGAGTACGATGCTCACGAATAACCATCCCTCCATTTCACATGCATTGGCCATCGCACGGGGCTAGCACCTTCTATAAATACCCTGCTAGCTAGAAGTATCATGGCACACCAAAGGCTAACGGAACTGCCATTAGCAACTAGTGTTCTATGTAAAGTCCCTTTTTAAATCCACTTTCAAACATGTGAGAAGATCATCATTGGTAAAAATATAATTTTCATTTTCAATATCAAACTTGCATGAATCATTTTTTCATAGCAATTCAATGATTTTCAGAATAAAATACCATAATCAAAGTCCAAACTTATATTTATTGAATAATTGACATTTCAAAAGTGCTAAAGGTAATTTCATAAAATAAAGAAGTTTAATTAACAAATTATCCAATTCTCACATTGTTGTTATAAAATGATTTTCATAAAAATATAATATTTTAGTAAAGCAAATTTTATTAGAAAATCAGTTGGGAAGCTATTCACGTACCTGAAATACTCCTCAAAATTTATAACTTACTCCTTATCCCTTTTATCAAGATCCTCTTTCTCTAGACACTATATGAAATATAATAGGGTCTTAATAGACTTTCAATAAGTCAATAAAACGTTATTTCAAACTAACATAACAAACATTTAACTATAATAAATTTAAAGCCTTTAACAACCAAGATTTACACATAAAGTAACAATAGCTAAATACTCAATTAAAATGCAATTTCCTCTTTAGCCTTTTGTCAAATGCTTAGCGTGCATCATTTCAACCATTCAATTGAGCTTTTTAACATTCAAATCTCTTGCTCAACCATTAATCAACAACCATACAACTCCCAAAAAATCCACTAGTTACATACTAGCTCCATAATTATCAAATTTCTAGATAATACTCATGTTAATTTACAATTAAATAGAACCTAAACCAACCATACTTCTTATAAGAATTAATGAAATTTCATAAACTAAAAAATCAAGCAAAATCCCTTTTATCAAACATTTTATCAATCACCTTACATGCCTTCATGCCCAACTATAATACATCCTCATTTCCTTAAAAATTTTATTAAAACCTAAATTTCCAAGCTTTCCTTTTTTTCTGTCAATACTAGCCAATTGAGATAAAAAAAATTTAAATCTAATTCTTCTTCTCCAGTAATCTACATAAGAGAAATTATCTACTGAAAATCATGCTTTTAAATTCATGTTTAGCTTAGTTAAACTCATGTATTCCCTTCTATCACGCACAACAGCAGCAAAAATAAAAATAAAAAAAACATCACAGCTAAGCCAAATATCACACAGACCAAAAAAGCAAAGAGGTAGGGGATTTAAAGCTCCACACCTTCAATCAATTACGGTAGAATAAGAAAGGAGGAAGGACGAATTCGCTGTGCTGAACAGGGGAAGAAGAAAGGAACCTCTTACACTAATCCACAGCAACAAAAATCAAAGAAGAGACAGCACCACGCATTACTGTCAGCCACGAACAGGGAAGAGGCAAAGAACGACCAAACAAGGGAGCGAATCCAGCAATCTCCCAGTTTCAACTGCGAAACAGCAACGCAAATAGAGGAAGCCGATGGCAAAGATCCTAAACCAAAGTACAGTGGCCAAAATTTTAAATCAACACGTGGCCGATGTCGAAGAAGGAAAAGAGATGAGCTTTACACGCTGACCCAAGGCAAGGAAGAAGACAAGGGACGGTGACAAGGGAGAAGGATCTAGTGAGCTACCCACTGCAATGGATGAACGTGAAGATGAGGAAAAACATAGGCCAACGGCGAGTAGAGAAAATCAATAGTGGAGAGGAAGCTGATGGTGAAGAGCAGAAACACAAACCGACAGAAAAAAAATTAGGGCAGCTCATGTCGGTGAAAGAAGGGGAGAAATTAAGGAAAAACAAAATATTTCGCATAAGAGGAATATAAATTCTGACCAAAAAGGAAAATTAGTAAATTGCAAGATATGGCACAAGGAAAAATTACAAGAATGAGCCCAAAATTTTCTACAAAATAAAATCGAACTTTTGCTCAAGGAAAATCAAACTCTAGACCTTCAAAAAGTTACTAAAGCAAATTTCACTAAACTACTACTCTTCACTTTTTTATAAAACTAATTTAAATAAAAATATCAATTAAAAAAATATCTAATTTAAATTTTTGGGTCATTACGTTATTTCCCCCTTAACAAATTCGGTCTTCCAAATTTGAATGAACGGTTATCTTAATTTTAAAATAAATGCGAATACTTTTCCTGCATCTTACTCTTTTCTTCCTAGATAGCTTCTTTGATAGAGTAGTTACGTTATAACACCTTCATAAAGAGAATTTCCTTCGATGGCACAAGGAAAAATTACAAGAATGAGTCCAAAATTTTCTATAAAATAAAATCAAACTTTTGCTCAAGGAAAATCAAACTCTAGACCTTCAAAAAGTTACTAAAGCAAATTTCACTAAACTACCACTCTTCACTTTTTATAAAACTAATTTAAATAAAAATATCAATTAAAAAAATATTTAATTTAAATTTTTGGGTCATTACATCATTTCTTCCTTAACAAATTCAGTCCTCCGAATTTGAATGAACGGTTATCTTAATTTTGAAATAAATGCGAATACTTCTCCTGCATCTTACTCTTTTCTTCCTAGATAGCTTCTTTGATAGAGTAGTTACGTTATAACACCTTCATAAAGAGAATTTCCTTCGATGGCACAAGGAAAAATTACAAGAATGAGCCCAAAATTTTCTACAAAATAAAATCAAACTTTTGCTCAAGGAAAATCAAACTCTAGACCTTCAAAAAGTTACTAAAGAAAATTTCACTAAACTACCACTCTTCACTTTTTATAAAACTAATTTAAATAAAAATATCAATTAAAAAATATTTAATTTAAATTTTTGGGTCATTACATTATTTCCCCCTTAACAAATTCAGTCCTCCGAATTTGAATGAACGGTTATCTTAATTTTGAAATAAATGCGAATACTTCTCCTGCATCTTACTCTTTTCTTCCTAGATAGCTTCTTTGATAGAGTAGTTACGTTATAACACCTTCATAAAGAGAATTTCCTTCGATGGCACAAGGAAAAATTACAAGAATGAGCCCAAAATTTTCTACAAAATAAAATCAAACTTTTGCTCAAGGAAAATCAAACTCTAGACCTTCAAAAAGTTACTAAAGCAAATTTCACTAAACTACCACTCTTCACTTTTTATAAAACTAATTTAAATAAAAATATCAATTAAAAAATTATTTAATTTAAATTTTTAGGTCATTACATTATTTCCCCCTTAACAAATTCGGTCCTTCGAATTTGAATGAATGGTTATCTTAATTTTGAAATAAATGCGAATACTTCTCCTGCATCTTACTCTTTTCTTCCTAGATAGCTTCTTTGATAGAGTAGTTATGTTATAACACCTTCATAAAGAGAATTTCCTTCGATTTGAGCTTTTATATTTGTTTCTCAATAATGGCTATTGGAAATTTTTTTTTATAGGATAAGTCTTTGTTAGATAACCTACACTTTCTCTTTAGCATCTTGCACAAAGTCTAGTCTTAAAATTTTATCATCTTCAATTTCAAACCAATCCAATTAGAGACCTATACTACCTACCATATAAGGCCTCAAATGGTGCCATTTGTATACTCGCTTGATAACTATTATTATTATGCAACTCCATCAATGCAAAATGCTCATACCAATTTCCTCCAAAGTCTAAAACACAGGATCTCAACTTATCTTCAAGAATTTAGATTGGTCTTTCAAACTGACCATCTGTTGGCGAATAAACATTTGTGCAAAAATCCAATCAACTTCCCAAGGCTTCTAGAAATGATCTCTAAAACCACGATGTGAATTATGGTCCTCTATCAGCAATTATATATACTAAAACCTATGCAATCATACAATTTGATCAACATATATTCGAGAATAATAGCTAGCAATATATTTCGTCTTGACTAGAATGAAATGTATAGATTTGGTTAATCTATTAACAATCGTCCAAATGGAATCATACTTCTCAATGGTTAAAGTGGCCCTGTTGGCTTCTAGTGTTCTGCCTTAACTTGCTAAATGCAAAACACTGTGAAATAAAGTCTGCCACATCCCCTTTCATTCCATCCCACCTATACAATTGCTTCAAGTCTTGATATATCTTTGTAAATCTTGGATGGATTGTATGTGTTGAATAGTGAGCTTCTTCCAAAATACATCTTCTCAAGTCTTCAACTTGCGGAACACAAATTATGTTATCATGTCTTAAAACATCTTCTTGGTTAATAGTCAACTCAATGTTCTCCCTCTTCTTGACCTGATCTAATAGTTTGCAAATTTGTAAATATAAATTCTAAACATCTTTAATTTGATCAATCAAGGAAGAACGAGCTTGCAAGTGACCCAATAATACTCTCCTCTCAGCAATTTCAACTTTACTCATTCTTGTTCAAGCTTATAAATGTCCTGCACCAAAGGTCTCCGTACCATTGTTATACATGACAAACTACCTCTAGATTTTCCACTTAAAGTATTAGCTACTACATCTGCCTTGCTAGAATGATACTGAATTGTGCAATCATAGTCTTTAAACAATTTCATCCTTCTCCTTTACCTAAGATTAAGATCTTTCTACTTGAAGATGTATTTAAGACTCTTGTGATTAGTAAAAATTTCACAAGTCTCACCACACAAATAATGTTGCTAGATCCTTAAAGCAAAAATGACTATTACCATTTCTAAGTCATCAATAGGGTAATTTCATTCATGTTTCTTGAGTTTCTTAGATGCATATGCAATTATTCTTCCATTTTGCATTAGGATAAAACTAAGACCAACACGAGAAGAATCACAATAAACTACATATCCCCTTAATCCTAATGGCAGGCTTAAAACTGGGGCAATTGTTATACGATCTTTCAACTTTTGAAATCTTTCCTCACATTCATCACTCTAAACAAATTTCACGCATTTTTTTACCTTGTTAAGTTGTTGATAATCAATACAAAGTCTTAGTGATCGACCTTCTTTTTAACCAAGAGAATTGGTGCCCCCCAAGGGAAAGTACTAAGATAAATAAATTCTTTATCCAACAACTCTTGTAGCTAACTCTTCAATTTTCTTATCTTAGATGGTGCCATTCTGTAAAAGGGAATTGAAATTAACTGAGTACTCAGAATCACATTAATAGTAAATTTGATTTCCCTATCTTAAGGTAACCTAGGCAACTTATCTAGAAAGACATTGAAAAATTTTCTAACTATTGGAATATGTTTCAAACTAGAAATTGGTTACTAGACATCCTTTATCAAAGCTAAATACTCTCAATAACCCTTCATCAAAGTCATTAGGCCTTCATGGCTGAGATTAAACCTGTTAATCTTTCTATTTGGCTTACTTACAAATAAAAGGAGTTTCTCAAGGAATTTCAAATCTCACTATGTCTAAGTAGCAGTCAACAGCAACATGACAAGTAGCTAATCAATCCATACCTAAAATATATCAAAATTAATCATATTTAATAGTATTAAATCAACTAGGGTTTCTCTACCCTCAACAGATACTTCACAAGATTTGCATCCCTACCTAACAAAGAGAGGTTCTCCTCTTGGAGTAGCAACCATATAAGAATTATTAAGTTTGATGGGTTCCTTACCCAATCTCTTAGAAAAGTACATAAAAATATAGGAATATGTTGAATCAGGATCAATCAATACATACACACTTTTAAATGTAAAGTAATAATACCTATAACTATATCATTTGAATCTCAAGCATCCTGTCAGGTTATAGTATAAATATGTGCTTGTCCTTGCCTTTAAGATTGTCCTTACTTTCTAGGAGTTTTTTTTCCTGACATACCCATATTAGCAGAAATAGAAGGGATACTAACCAAAGTATCAAGTAGGGAGGAGGTCAAATAAATCCCTAGCTAGACATCGATTAAACAAGAGGACTGTTTCTTCTCAAATAACCAACTTGTCTGCATTCATAATAAGCACTAGATGCCTTATGACAAGATCTAGAATGAAAATTCCCACAAGTAATACTAAGAACCCTAACATAACTTGGATGATTCAAATCTTGCTTAGATTGCAGTCTAGGATTCCTAAAACTACATTTAGAATCTGAGGAACCAATGAAAGGAGAGACATGAAATCCAGACATCTGCTACTTCTCACGAGAATAAAACTATACATGAAATTGATCATTTCTAAAAGAATCCTTGAATCTCACTCCAGCTTCCCTCTTACATTTCTTAAAAACCACCTTGTTTTCTTGATGCTTTAACTCAATTTTTAGAGCAACATCTTTAGCCAATGAATAGTTAGTGAAAAACATTAACATGATAATTACTAGATCATGTATCTTTGAGGCAAACCATGAACAAATCTGCAAATCCTTTCTTTCTTATAAGACACTATGTGAGAAGCAAAAGAAAAAAATCTTACAAATTTTCGGCCAAATTCTAATACTGACCCAATATGTCTCAAGTTTAAGAATTCTTCAATCTTAGCATCCTTTAAGAAACATTACTAGGTTTCCTTTTTCATTAGTTTTATAAAAAGAAGGGAAATTTATCTTGATAAAACCTATCAATTTTGCTATAGTAATATCCTTTCTAATAGCACTATAAGTTTCCTCTTCAGTACCTTTGTGTAGTTGATGAAGTACCCTCATAAGATTAGGGGTTTAAAGACTCAACCTCAAATAAAATCTCTTGAATATGCTTAGGGGATCAACCACTCCTAATCCTCACTTATGACCCTGCCCTCATCCATGAAGCGGCAATTCATTGTGTGGAATAGAGGACTTATTTGATACCCTATTGCTACTAGAAATCTTGCTAAAAGGACGACGTCTACATGACA